ACCAAGCAACCCTGAGTCTCCTGACATCTCTGCTCCAGTGCTGCTCTCACCCACCTGGAGAGTGAGTGCCTCAGACCTTCCTGCACCCAACTTGAAACACATCAGAGTATCAAAGTCAATCACACACACCTGAAAAGAGCAGCAGACCTATACACACCAGGAAAGGAAGTGACACCAACTGTACCCACTGGAACAAGAGATAGGAAGATGACAATATAAGAACACATTCAACAACAGGAAAACCAATGTGATACCATCAGAGTCTAGGGACTCTAAACCAGCAAGACATGAACATCCCAACACAGAAGAAGTAGAAGAGTGCAACCTTAAAAACAACTTCATGCAGATGATAGAGAACGTAAGAGAGGAAATCAAAAAATCATTCAGAGAAATGGAAGAAAAGACGAACCAAAAGATGCAAGAAAACAAGGAAAGACAAAAAAAAAAGCCTAGAAAATACAATTAAACAGCTGAAGGAAACAGTTGAGGACCTGAAAACTGAATTAGAGACAATAAAGAAAACACAAACTGAGGGAATGCTGGAAGTGGAAAAGCTTAGTAAAAATCGGGAACCACAGATGCAAGCATGACCAATAGAATACAAGAAATGGAAGACAGAAACTCAGACTCTGAAGACAAACTAGAGGAAATAAACTCATCAAGCAAAGAAAATCTGAAGTCTAACAAATCCATAACACAAAATATCCAGGAAATTTGGGACACTGTGAAATGGCCAGACCTAAGGATAATAGGTATAGAAGAAGGAGAACAAACCCAACCCAAAGGTTCAGAAAACATATTCAACAAAATCATAGATGAAAACTTTCCCAACCTAAAGAAAGACATGCCAATGAAAGTACAAGAAGCCTACAGAATGCCAAATAGAGTGGACCACAAAAGAAATTCCCCACGTTACATAATAATTAAAGCACCAAACGTACAGAATAAAGAAAAAATATTAATAGCAGCAAGGGAAAAAGGCCAAGTAACATATAAAGGCAAACCTATCAGAATTACACCAGACTTCTCCATGGAGATGCTGGGGTAGCTATCCTTGTATCTAACAAGATAGACTTCAAACTAAAATCAATCAAAAGAGATGAAGAAGGTCATTTCATATTCATCACAGGAAAAATCCATCAGGAAGAAGTCTCAATTCTAAACATCTATGCCCCAAATACAAAGGCACCAACATTCGTAAAAGAAACATTATTAAAACTCAAATCACAAATAAGGCCTCACACAGTTATAATGGGAGACTTCAACAACCCACTCTTACCACTGCACAGGACCACCAGACAGAAACTTAACAAAGAGACAAAGGAACTAACAGAAGTTATGACCCAATTGGGATTAACAGACATATAGAACTTTCTATCCAAATACAAAAGAATATACCTTCTTTTCAGCATCACATGGAACCTTTCAAAAATCAACCACATTCTTGGCAACATAGCAAACCTCAACAGGTACAAAA